CGCCCGGCTTTATTTCTTCCCATATTTAGGTTATGGCTTTTGGTTTCTTCTCGGTTGCGTCAACGAGAGGCTATTTAACACGGAAGGCTGGACGAATTTGCTAACTAAATATGATATACGTGTGTGCCACTGTTTTTTGGACTTCACAGTATACAGAATAACCGATTCAGAGCAAATGACTGAAATCACGTTAAAATGTAACACAGTTTTGAACGTACCGCTTTGCGTTCCCATTCCACAGTCCGTCGCACAATTTAGTCCGTTCCTCCTCTATCTAACTGCATGATCTCGCTCTTTTTATCACGGGACCTCTATCTTTGTTATCTCCCCTTGAATCTACCTGGATTCCTCTTTCCCTTCGGCTTCGCTTACTTCCACCCGCCTTTTCCTCACTTCATCTCCTTTCACTATGGCATCTTTTTGCACCCTTTCTGCCTTCTTTTTGCAGATAGTCCGAACAGCTGCCTGATGACACGACATCTGATTTGTATCACAGCTCTTGGACAAATCATACAACGCCTATATATATATATATATACACATATATATATATATACCGCACAACACAAACCACATGAAGGTGAACCAGTTTACAGGTGTGATCCCATTGGTAATTCGAACCCGTTGTTACTTACGATAGCAAACAATACACTAGACAACCTTGTTTAAGGCAAATGAGAGTCGGGTTTAAAGAAAGAAGCTTAGTGTTTGCCAGGCAAACAACAATAAACGGCTGCAAACCAACATAACTACTCGATAGATTAAAGCAGACCCAGTCCGTAGTTGGGGTGTATTCAGCCACTGTTTGAACCTCCGTATATTCTTGAAGGCATGTCTTGTGGTACGGCTGTAGCCTTGAGTGTCGCGTATTCATCGTGAGGTTGTTTTACGTGGTGTGCGCTTGCTACTAGTACTCCATATGAATGTGTGACTGACTATAAGGACCAGAAACGCGAATTACAGAGTGAGTGCCTGGCCAAAATCAATAAAGAAATACGAATCTACTAGGCGGAACATATCAGTCACGATATGTATAGGCGAGTTAATCGTGCTGACCATGAAAGTTACCGGGTGAATTATCTTAGTCCAACTACTTTGAGGTCACCTTGTGGGGAAGCGGACGGAGGTACTTATGAAAGTGCTAAAATAAACACTTGAATTGAAGATAATAATAATTTACTCGTGAATTTACAGGCGCATGTCATTTTTACAGAGACGGTTATAACAATTAATGATGGGAAATCCGCGGTGGTATCTTCTTTTACAGAAATATTTTTATCATCTTTTCATTCCAGGTTATGGAAATCTCCAGTCTGAAGAAAAAAGAAAGCGTCCTGGTGAAACGATCTACTTCTGTTTGTTTATGCTAAATTTAACATATGCCCACAGTAGTCGCTATGTTGCTCCTCATCGTGCTTAGTAGCTAGGTGAATATTGGTCACATTAAGTTTAAAAATCGATTCGAAGAGTCCGTTTCTGTAGGTAAAGTTGCCAGTATTTTTCTGCATTTTTGTGTGCTGTTTACAGCCGCAGTGGACGAAATGGCGCCGGTCAATGAAACAGTGGATTAATAAGTGTCAAAAGGCTCCAAGGAAGTATCTTCGTGTGATGCCATATTGATGTTCATCACAGTTTGCACGATTGCAAGGGAGGTGCTTGAAGACGGATGCAGTGATATTCAGGAATAGAATTGATAAAATATCCTAGTTACAATCTAACTGCAGGCTTCCGAGGATCCATTTAAAATAAGAATAGAGAAAACAGAGAGCAGTGTACGGATGTAGAAGGACGTTTTATCAGTATTTGTCCGTAATTGCGATTTTTAATATTGACAATCTATTAACTTGTTGATTAATGAAAGTCGCTGGATATGTGTTTTGTTCAACAGAATCATGTGTTGTGAGGAAGAATTACTTTGCTTGCTATCTTTGAAGCATTTTACTATAATTGTGTGACGGTGTCCAACATTCTGCTACCGTAAATTCGAGATAGATTTAGCTAACTCTGAGATTTGCAGAACTTTGAGAGTGATATGTACACCCTCAGGTGATGCGGCGTGTTTCCTGGGGGAAATAGCAACCAGAAGCAAGGGTATCGAACAAAATTTCCTTGACTGCACGAGAATATTGGTGGTGACACTTGCTGGGGGTTGGGCGGAAACCCTTCATACTGGATTACCTTGTTACCAGCGACCACCTACTGGCTGAAAACGTTCAGTTTCAAACCCCCCTGGCAGCAGCGATCACTGCGTGTCAGTGGTTGACCTGACATTCAGCCAACAACTGTCAAGGGAGGGACCTCTTTCTTGTCTTCGCGACAGGAAGGCAAACTACGTGACAAGGACCTCCAGAAAAGAGCCACACCGCTTATATGGCCCTAAGAAATCGACGGAAAGTCAAAGTGAGGGGAGACAGGAGGCCGTTCCTGACGGGCCTTACCTAGAAGCTCGAGGCGAACCCCGAAAACCTAATTTGACTTATGGTGGGCAGAAAATCCACCAGCTAGGGCGCTTGCATCCTGAAGGGTCTGGACTGAGTGCACCTCTCTGGACTAGAGGTCTCCGAAGCCTTCAGCGCCGCCTTCGACACTCAACCGAACACGTCTCCATCTAACTGAAATCGCCAACTGCCTTGGCAGCATTCAGCACCACCAGATGCAGTAGAGTTGCCTGGAACGAAGGTAACTCCTACTAATGTCCTCGAAAATCTGTCAAAGCTCCGTGTGTGGAAGTCACGAGGATGCGATGACGTCCGGCAGGCTGTGTTGAAACAATGCGCTGGTTCCTAGTGCAGCCCGCTGCATAATCTGTTTAATAATTCCTTAGACAATCACGTGCCTCAACGAGGGCGGAACCGTGCCATTTTGTCCTTCATCTTCAAGGGTGGAGGCAGGCGGAACCTAAAACGCTATCGACCTATAACCCTTCTACCAGTGGTGCCAAAAGTAACGGAGAGACTGGAAGACGACCATGTCGGAGAGTACGTTGAAAAGAGTAGAGCACTAAGGGATTCTCAGCACGGTTTCGGAAGGGGTAGACCATGCGCCTCAAACATTCTGGCAGCCGGTGGTAAGTGGGCGGCATGTCGGGACCTCCAAATTCCCGCTCATTCTATTTTCCTGGATTTTGCTGAGGCCTTTGAAACGGTCCCGCACACCGTTCTCGTTCACAAGATAGTAGGGCTGGGTATCAAGTGTCAAGTGCTCTCCTAGAGACGGGACCGTTTCGACGGTGGACAGTTCTGGACGAAAGCCAACAGAGTTTGCTCAACTTGGAGGACATCGTCATCTGGTGTACCACAAGGAGAGATTCGGGGTCCGCTGCTATTCCTTCTTTTTGTGAAAGACCTCCCACCGAATCTCAGCTCCCTAATCCTACTTTGCGCTGATGATGTTGAGTTATGGAGAGCTATGACGTCTGAAACAGGGTCAAGCGCACTGCAAAGTGATCTCAGATCACTTGCAGGGTGGGTGGATATTATTAGACCAGGGGTTAATCTGTATGGGTGCCGAGCCACGTCTCTCCGCACCCCTCACTCTCAGAAGACACCTTATTCTTTCTGTGTAACACAACGTTCCCACACTGCCATCGAGAAAGACCTCGGACCAATACTGACTGACCAGCTAGACACTAGCTCCATTTATCCAGGAGACGCCTTCACAACCTACTCAGTTTTGCACTTCATGTGCAGACAAATAGGTGCCCTGACTCCAGAACTCTTTTTGAAGCTGGACAAGACCTACATACGACCCCACTTAGGGGTCCATAACGTCACTGCACCACCATATCTGCGAAGAGGCGTGAACCTCCCAGAGAAGGCCAAAAAACGGCCACAAAGGGTATCGTGTGAATGAGGCGAAACCCTTTGAGGACAGGCTGAAAGATCTAGGACTCTACCCTCAAAGCCATGTGAGATCACTCGATGACTTGATAAGGGCTTACAAAATATTAAGTAACCCAGGGCATCCGAACGGTGGAATCCTGTTGAGCGGCCACTGTGGCGATCTTCATGGTAACCCAAGGAGAATCGCCTACTTAAGGGCGAAAACCCATGTCCATCCACTCTTCTCTCTGCTAGTTTGCGGCCACTGAAACGCATTGCCTGCTGAGATTGCCACTGCTCCGTTTTAACAGCTTCAAGTAGAGGTTGGACGGTTACTCGGCGGCGCACGGCTTGCGCTCATCCAGCTGAGGTATGGACTAGGCCGAAGCGACCTACTAACTCAGTACGGTAAGCCCATTATCGAATACGTTGTATCACTGCAAACTTGGCTCAACCTTATTCCTCCATATAGACGTCCCCTTCAGCTACCTTCTCTTACTAATAGAATTACTACCTCCATAAGCCGCGCTATAATGTTATTTTCTTCTTCTGCTCCTACTGACTTTACGTTCTCACACTTTAATAAAAGCTCTCCCCATCAACCCTCTCCCATGGATCTACCGATGTTTCTTCTTCCGTACAGTTTCCTTTTTCCTGATCGTTTTTTTCAACCACCTATTTTTCTTCGCACTTTCTCTCCCTTGATTTCGCCGGTAATACTTTCCATCTCTTTTTAAAACCAGTCCAACCAGTTGTTTGCTGGCAAGACACTTGAGGAACCCGTCTGCACCGCAGTTGATGGAAAAACAACAACACATACTCCCTACAAATTTAACTAACACCCTACCGCCCGTCAGGCTAATTAGAGCTACAGCAGTCAAGTGGGTACGACTACTGCATCGGAATCCATCAAAGACCTGGAGCCGTTCTGCAAGACCTAGAAGCGAGTACGAAGAAATCAATTGGCTTACACTAGCTTGTAAGAAGATATTGGATATTGGAGAAGCACGGTTCGCTAATATCAGTAGAAATGACATGAATGGCTTAGTTAGTCAAACGCTACCAGTTAACACCCGAAGAAGTTTCTGACTGTAACTATACTGCGTGCCTCCCGCGTTTTACTTCATAGACATCATAACAACAAGAGGCTTTGTACGCGGGTTGTTCGATATATATGCGATGTTGCTTTCTAAAGGACAAATAACTGTTAAAGAAAGGCAACACGACTACTTGTACGGTAAATGACAAGATTTATTTTTATTTTATTTTTTATTTTTTATTAACTTATTCAGATCCACTGTACAGTCTTTCAAGTGGGGTCGACCATGCACGAGTTGCTACTAAGGCGCGTGCTAATTTAAGCAAGCTGCAAAAGTTGTTTTCTTTTGAGAATCTTTTCAGCGAGATACCTATATATCTTCCATACAAATGGCGTTTGAGCACAAAAGATCCTGTTCCTGACTCTGTATCCAAACATTTCAATCCTGTAGATGTATGTAAAGAGTTGGTTAAGATGTAAGTTCATGAGTCACTTTAATCTCGAAAAAGTCAGCTCAGGAAGGGAGAAACTCCTATGGATGGCCACATCTTTGGAGGGATGGATAGACCGAAATACTTCACTTACCATACATCATCAGTTTATCCATATGTAAGCTGAGTAAATCACTATAAGGGTAAACCAAATCTCTTTTTTCTTTAAAATACTTTATTCCATACTCCTTTTCAGAGAGATGCCGAAAGCCTTGCGCACTTTATTAGTAGTGGTTTCATTGGAGCAGTCTGTGCAATTAACATTTTCCCACCCAATTTCAGCCGTTTACCCTCAGAATATGCCATTGATAGTGATAGAAAAAAAGTGGCTTCTGTCATCAGGGTCAAACGACTGCCAGTGCAATGCAAGCTTTTTGCACTGGCTGTGGCCTATTGATACTTCGAAAGATATTGCTTGATTATATGTGATCATAATTAATATTATGATTTTTTGATTGCACGTCATACTTGTATGGTATTGGTCCTCCTGCCAATCTTTTGGATATCTGGTGAGAAGAAATAAACTGTCACTTTTATACCGAATTCCGCATGAGAATTGCAGTGAATGTCATCCCACATTAAATAAGGCGTTTTGTGGAATCTCCGTTACGCTTCACTTTGCATTTACAGAAAAAGCCCAGGTTCTCAGTGGCTGTTTATATACTTTTTAGACCAATATATGAATAAGAGAAATGTACTCTCAGTATCTGAGTCATGTGAAGGTGGTTCCATCAGTAATACTGGAAGCGTTTTATGTACGAATGTGCACACGGTTATATAAATTAGCCAACCTTAAGTGATCATACTTTCACAACTATCTTGATTTATCACCGCACGTGTTTTATAACATTCAAGATGCTCCTGGTTATTGCAAGTTGTGTGACTTGTCGCAGAATGCCGACTTGGTATCTGAATTAATCTTTAGGCTTATAAAGTTCAGTGGACCATGTCGTTTTGACATCTTCCAAATTGTGCACATAGAATTGCTATGCGTTTTTCTGAAGTCATATCCCAACAGTGTCGTATTTCCATATTCTCCTGTAATCTGGAGCATATCAAATTTAAGGTGTCATCATAATTTTTACTTATTCTAATGACTTCATAAGCTTGGTTTTTATCATTGTGAAGTCTTTTTTCAAACTGCATGATATAGATGAGAGATTTAGGACGGTCTTTCCCATACAAAAGCCTTTGAACGACAATGTTCACATCCGCCTCTATGGCGTTTCTTTTTTCACAACATTATAGCAGGTCCAGAACAATTCAGTCGCCATTTCTCATAACCATAAGAACCGTTGCTGTCAAAAGTGTCGCATTAGTTTAGTCAAAATATGAAACAAATATATCACCGTCTATTAGCATAGTGACAGCAAAACATTATGTGAAGATTTTCATTACCAAACAAACTGGTAAACTAAATTATTCATTTTTAACTGTATCTTGACTGAAATATATCTGTTTTGAAAGTTAGGGCTCATAAATGCTGTCTGCACTATGCAAGTCAGTATTTTGGCAACTTAAAAGATAGCCAAGTTTCCTGGTGATAAGTATTGGTTTTTAGACTGATTCTAACTGTTTTGCAGTGTGGTTCGAAACCGTTACAGAAGAAGGTGTCCAAGGCCTTCAGTGGAGTTCTAGGACAGCATATTTTATGAAGTAACATAGGTTTCACAGTAGTTGAGAAACAGTGAGTGCTGCCCTTATGTTATTTGCCCTTGGGTTGTTTTTAGACTCATCCGAAGTAAATACTCTTGATCATCAACTAGAATGACAATAAGTTGTTCATTAGCATGTTCCAATGATAATTCTAACAAAAAGTAATGACTTTTTGAGTCAACCGCATTGACAGTGGCAACAAGCATTTGTATATGAGGGTGTAGAGCAGTCGCAGGCCTACTAATTCAGAATATCCCGGTAGAACAGGTTAGAACTGATATCTAATCGATGAAAATAGACATTATGGTCTGGATATAACGAGACTGAAGATTAGCGAGAAGTCGTAGACTAATGCAGATGTTGGTATAGTGTCAAATCTATTTATTTACTTTTTGAAAGGTAAAAGGTTTTTTCTGATCGTTTTACTAAAAAATCAGATCATAACTTTGATTTTTATCCATGAAATTTCAAACAGTTTGATCGGTTCGCCAACTTCAATAATGTAACAAAAAAGTCCTTGCGACATGTATGCTCTGGATGTTTGAGTTTCATGTCAGTTGCTTACTCAACCAAATGGAGTCTTAGCAAGGACAAAACTACAAGAAAGTACAGCAATTCAAAGTGGTGATAGGGGATATTTATCGTAATAAATGTGTATTGTTCAGTGGATTAGGTATTAGACTTTTAAGTGATGTGTCTAAGGTTCACAAACTGCTTCGTCTACTTTGACCCGGATGACAGGGTAGAATTACAAGCTGTTACGAACTGACTGTAGTCTTAGTTTCACCTTTAAAAATAAAATGATGCTAAATTGCCAGGAGTATGTGTGGAAAATGTACACAGAAGTTCAAGAAGACACGAAAAATGTGCAAGAGATTAGTTATGTATGTTACTAGGGCGCTAAATAATTAATAATCACATTCTTCTGAATGTTGTTGTTGAATTGAAGTTATATGATTTTATGGTCTCAGGAAACGGTATAGTGCACTTTACTGCCAGGTTTTACTTTGATTTGCCTGTCTTCCTGTTCGATTTGTGTATTTTTCTTACCAATTGTTTTAATGATTATGCATATCTGTATTTAGTGTACTTTATTGGTAATATGGGGGGTTTGTAATGCTTCTGAAGGCCTATCACTTCCTATAATTCACACTACTTTGATCTTTCTGAAATAGTGCAGTGAATGTCAGTTTATTTACCCATCTGGTTCATTCCATTTCTTCAGTGTGTGTAAATTGATAATTGAGAAACCAGTGAGGGTTTGTAGCTGAATGGTTTTAACTGTGGGATAAAGCTTTGATGAACTAAGTGACCGATATGTGCTAATCTACTATATCTCTGATACCAGTATTTGTCTATCAAGAATAATTTCCATCACAAAAGATGTTTCCCTTATTGAGTGATATAACTTTATTTGAGTTTTACTTTTAAACGGTTTGTGCATGCAGTTTGCTTGATATCCATTATTATGGAAGTATTATTCATTGATAACTAAATTGAACTTGAAACATCTTTTAAGAAAAGCTTACTCTCATCCATTGTCCGGAGTTTTATCTATCTTATATAGCAGCCGACAGGACAATAGCTGCTGAAAGTCTTATATTGATAACCAATGTTATTTTTAACCAAATAGTTATCATCTGTCATTTATTTACGCCTGGTGTATAGATGATAAACGTTTAAGAAGATTTCATCATAAGGCTAACACTTTGATGTACAATATGAGGATAAATCTAAGACGTTTTACCTCCCTTTAATTTTCTTTAAAGATTTTTTGAGAAGAATTTAAATCAGTTTTTAACAATGATGGTATGAAAATAAGCTTGTACTTTATGTAAACATTTCACTACACCTCATTAAGACGTGACTGCTTTAATTCCAAGGTTTTAAGTTTTTTTCACATATAGTAACATCCTGGTTGCAAATATCTAAAAAAGGAGGTTTTTATTTGTCTTTTTTCACAAGTAACTGATGAATTTTATAATGCAGTTAAGTGTGACTGTTCCCACAGCCTATATAACTAGGCATTTATATTTCCTAGTTCTTTTTCTGTTCTTTTTAACTCAGTTTTGATATCGTTGATGGAAACAACCTCAGAACAACAGCAAATTCAGCTTCTGGTATTTTGTCTAGTGTTATAAATTATTCCTTTCTTTTTAGAGTAAGGAATACTTAAACAACCTCAGTACATAAGTGTTCCTATTTTAAAATCAGTGATTCTAGAATTTATTCAAAGCATACTTTATTGGAACCTTGCCTGGTTAACTAGTTCACTAGTTACTAACCGGTCCTAAGCCTGGGTAAAGAGGGAAGGTTGGGCATAGGGCTAGCAACTCAACCCCAGAAAACCAATCCAACAGCTACAAAAACTTCAAAGCACAGACAAAATATAAAAATAAAAACAAACTTATTCCTCGTTGGAATCGGAGAGACGAAATGACGCCGGTGGGTGAAAGCCTTCGAGAAGCCAACTGGCCGATATGTCTTCTCTCGATGAGAGTGGAAGTAAGGTTAGGGACATGGAATGTCCTCACTACATTTGAACCTAGCAAGGCTGCCCAGATTGCAAACGAGATGAGAAGGTTTGGCATTGAAGTGTTAGGAATTTGCGAAAAAGGTGGAATGGAAGTGGGCTTTCCCAACTGTCTACTGGAGAGTCAGTAATCTACTCCAATATTGTCACCCAGACGACAATCATGAGCACGCTGAGTTTTGGAGTGGCTATCATGATGTCCCCGAGAGCATCGAAGGCTCTCATACAGTGGGGACAAGATCCGGATTTTCAACACCAATGTCAAGTCAGTGCTTCTATATGTTTCGGAAACTGCTCGTTACGAAAGGCATTTCCAACAAGCTACAGACGGTCATCATCAACTGCCTACGCTGGCTCGTTACTGAAGCTCAGATGGCCAGAAAAAATAAGCACCAAGGCACTCTGGCTGGGAACGAACCAACGAAACAAGAATCTATCGCTCAACAAATATGCAGAAGGAAGTGGAGATGGATTAGGCATGCACTGAGAAGACCGTTCTGGGACATCACGTACCAGGCGCTGGAGTGGAACCCAGATGGAAAACGGCGAATTGGACGTCCCAGCTGAGGGTGACATGGAGGAGATGATGTAAGCAAGAGATGAGAGCTTCTGGGCTGTCTTGGAGTCAGGTTGGAAAGACTGCAGATAACAGAGTGGAATAGGGATGTGCTACTGAAGCCCTATGTTCCACTAGGAACCCAAGGGACAAATAATAATAATAATATGATACTTTACCGAAGTTCTTTTCCTCCCCTTCTTATTGGCTTCAATACAATATGAAATGGAAATGGACTACTGACATTAACAGTCACTTGACACATTTCAAATATATGGAGATAAATGAAGTGTCAAAATTTAAGAATAACAGGGAATGATAAAAAATAACCCTATATCTTAGTTCCAGTCAGTAGTGTCTTCTATTTTGATTTTGGAGCTTTGAGGAATGAGCGTAAAAGAAAGGAGTTCAAACATAGACAAGTTACATGAGTATATGGATAGTTAGAGATGCAGGGTTTGCATGCTTCTAATGTAGTCATTAGGAGGGAAGTATAGGAAATACTAAACAGTTTGACACGAAGTAATAAAAAAAATGATACTCGTCTTCTCTAAGTGTTAGGATTCACCTACTGAACCACAAGGAGGAACAATTTATATATCTAGAAGACTATTTTTCATTCATACATTTATCAAAGAAAAATTTCGACAAAATGTTGGCTTAATTTATTAAAATTTTCTTATTTTTTTTATCATTCAGCCTTCAGGAGATGTTAAAAATTTAGATATTACACTGGATTCCTTAAGTGGGAATAGAGGTATAACACAAACAAATTTAATTCCAAAACCACCTACTTATGTATCACGTTGTGTACAAACAATGTATCGTGAATCAGAAGCACAAACTGATCCATATTCACCTCCTTATATTGTTAATACTGGTGAAACACCTGAGATACTAACATTAGCATCTTTAGTATATGGACGTGGACTACCGGCTAATTTGTATGCTATTGAAACAATTGAACGTGCAAGACAAAGACGTGAAATAGAATCCAATTTAGAACCATATAAAAATATTTTGAATGATCCCAAAAACTTGCAAAACGACGTAGAATACTGGAGAATTTAGAAAATCGTGAATGGTATTATAGAGAACGTGAAGTTGAAGCGTAAGTTAATATTTGTATTAAAAAAAACATTTTGATACTTTAACTTAAAAGCATAAAACTTAAGATTTTACCATTATTATTTCGATATAAATCTAAATTTCAACTTGTAAGCTGTTCATAGATCAACTTCATCTCAATCTCAAGAAAGTGGAGATGCAGCCTACTGGACGCAAGATCAAGAAGGGGAGCATATATAGGTTCAGACCACTATCTAGTGCAAGGAACCTTCCAAATCAAGTTGAAAGCCTTCAAGGAAGTTGATGATAGACCACAGTTTAAGTTGAACATCCAGAATAGAAACTGAAGGATGAAAATGCAAAGGACATCTTCGCTTCAGTCGTCAAGACAAAATGGGAGACATTGAGCAACATCCCTGAAAAAACCTGAGTGGAAGAACACTAGAACTCTCTGAAAGAGATGTGGAAAGAAACCTGCATAACCGTACTAGGAAAGAAGAGGGAACAAGACAAGGAATGGATCTCGACGAACACATGGAAGCTGATAGAAGAAAGAAGATGGCGAAGCAGAAGATGAACCAGTGCAAGGATGAACGACGAGAAGAGGAACTGAGTTCATTGTATAGAAGAATACACTGGACAAAGAAATGAAGAAGAGTGCACGCAAAGACACATTGGCAAGTGAAGCAGAACAGGCTTCAGGTAGGAGAGACAGATACCTGACAACATCATATCAAATAACCAGGTTACTACCTGGGAAGAGATCAACAGCTGCCTACGCCCGATACTGAAGATTAGATGGTCAGAATAATAAGAATAAGCAACAAGGTACTCTGGCAACAAACCAACCAACAACCTATCACCCAACTAATATGCAGTAGAAGAAAGTGGAGATGGACTGGATTGAGCATACACTGAGAAGACCATTCGAGGAAATCACGTGCCAGGCCAGACCCTCGATTAGAATCCAAAGGGGAAACGATGAGTTGGGTGTTTGAGTGAAGGGTGACATGGAGGAGATGATGTGAGGAAGAAATGAAAGCTTGTAGGCAGTCGTGGAGCCATGTTGCGAAGACTGGTGAGAAGAGAGTGCAGTGTAGGCGTTCTACTGAAGCCCTATGTTCCACTAGAAACCGAAGGCGGAATTAATAATGATCCAACTCATCACAACCTAATCCATTCGATGCAATTGTATTTACTTTAGAACCTTCATTTCTGTTATATATATATATATATATATATATATATATATATATATATATATATATATATGCCCAATGGAGTATTGAATACTGAAAATTTTGTTCAGCGTTACTCAGTAAAATAGAAAAAAATTACATTTTAAACACCCATAGTTTATAAAGAAATAATTTTCCGTATTTTTTTGGTTTTATTTAATCCCTATTTATTGGTTTCAAAACAAAACAAAATATGTAACAGCCTTCAAGAAGTTCGATTAAATGTACTTGCCCAACTTTTACGTAAACGTGAAGAACGTCAACAAGAGGTGATAGCTAAACGACTTGATCGAACATGGCAAGAAAGATGTGCACAAAAAGAAGCAAAATGTAGAGCTATACAATACCGTTACATTACAGGTATGCATACTTATTTACTTGATAAATATTTACTATCGTTTGTAATAAGTGTAACTTAAAAGAAGGAGTCACAGATACTTGGATATTTTATTGAGGAGTTAGGTAGCATGTGAATGTATAGCCGTAAGTTTAAGGTATCCAAAGTTTTTGGTTGGGTAGGTGGAAGGGTGGTCATCATATGTTTCACTAGGTAACTGATAATACTAAAAAATCGATGAAATCTTATTCCGGTAATGATTTAAGTATATTACTGTAACAGGATCAGAACGAAACCTAAAAATACTGTATAACCGTTCAACTTGTAACAAGCAGTGGAAATATTTGTGCGAAATAACTAAGTGAGGAAATACACTGTATGTTCAAAAGTTCCAGTGAATACTCTTTATTACACCTATACAGTCAGGTCAAATGTTGAAGACTACTAGATGTACAGCTCAAGGCTTTCATATAAAATTCAATGTGGATCTCATTTCAAGAAATTCGAAACCAAGCTGACCAAGTGATTCTACAACAGATAAACCAAACGTCCAAGTTAAGCCTAAAATTCAAAACACAAGATTCACCGGAAATACACTACTGTATTATTAAACAAAAATAACTAATAAATTTCAGACCTTGAATCATGGGGCGCTGGTGGGTTTATCGCTTTCAAAAGCACTTCACACGAAGTGTATCACCAATGTAAACAGCAAAGCTGTGTCGATAGCAAACCAGAGGAATATTTGAAAAACGCGCGGATCTCCAGGGTTAGATAAAGGAGATGATATCGACAACTGTTCAATGGAGTAACCCAAGGGAGCACAACATAATTATAAGGTGGGAGTGATACTAATATCTTAAGATACTAAATGGTGATAAATATATGATTATAACGGAAATGAACAGTTAAAGGTGTAGATGTGGTGACATTATGGAAGCACACGATTGCACTACTCACTATTAGTAAGTAGTACGAAACTTTATGAATAAAAAAACACGAGTATAAAATCGAGATTGAAGAAAATTAAGCGGTAAGAAGAGAATCAACAATCGTTATCTTACGATGTACATGAATCTTTTAGCAAGCATTTTTTTGTTACTCAAGTTATTTCCTTTCTTATTCCATCAAAATGAGATGAAGAAGATAGGGTTTCATTAACAATAAATACATGATCTCTGTGTATCTAATGAGCAAACGTATGATGAATAGCAGGAGAACTTCGAAAGACGTCTATTAACCTATTCAGTTTTCGCAACTAATCTCTGTAAAGTAAGCATTGAAAATTGTCATTTTTCTCGTAGGCTAATTTATTCGTTACAGTAAAACAATAGCGAAGAATCGTAATGTTAGCCGGTATTTCATGAAGTAAAGAGAATTAGTTAAAAGCATTTCCATTTGAAAGGAAATGAATTTGCACAAATGTTGTTAGGAATCGATAAATAAACATATTTTAAAAGAGATACTCCCAATCTCTTGTCTCAAAAGTAATTGGTTATATAAAAGCCTTGTCACTGGCCAGCTTCCATAGATATTTCAAGTACATAGATAGACAGATAAACTCAATGTAAAAAGTCACATACAAGTGCATCGGCTGGATTTGTCACACTCCACAGTAGTACACAAAGAACGGGTGGACAGAAAAGGAGCGATGTTAAAGTAGACAAAGCAATGTGACAAGAAAAACAGTCTGTAGATAACGGTTAGTGCAAATATTCAAGCTTTAGGTGTCAAGGAGAGAATACATCTACGTCACTGTGACCGATTTTCATCCATGTCACCAAGAGTTCCCAAACACTTATTCCTTTCGTCTAGCGAACCCCAATCAGGGATTCTACATCTCCCCACACGACGTAGTTCAACAGTAAGAGACTTTACCTAGTGGTTTAATTCAAGTCTTAGTCTGGCTACCCTGAACACTCTCCCAACTAAATCCAACTTCTCCTATCATGGCATTTCGAAGTAGGCAGTGGCTCGGCATGCTCAGTACATGTTCAAGTCATCTCACTCGACTAAGGTTCACAACCTCGTTAATCTACTTGCTTATCTTGTCTAGTACTCTTACCTTGACCCCAACACTGCTCACGCAGTGATTCCACTAAAGGCGAGCAATACTACGAAGACATTTGTGATAAAAACACTGTAATTGATTCATGTCTTCTACTTTTAACGGCTATATCTCACAGCTATACAGTAAGAGAAAGCCGACTACAGCGCGTTATACTCATCCTTTGATAGTTGGTCGAATAACTTGCCAGTTGACGTCACAGATGAAGCAAATTTGTGTTACTCAGTATTTATCATAGTACTAGTCAAAATAATCAAGAGGTCAACTTTTCTCTGAGTATCCCTTTCTTTGTAAACGGTGATCATAGAAAGACCTAATCTGTTACTGTGATATTATTCCCAACCTAATTCGCATCCAGACAAAATTTGGTTGTACAATGTTCAATTTATTTACCAAATACTTATAGTATATCTTGGTTTAAATTCATTTCTAAATAACGCCTTGAAAAATTTAAACAGAACATGTGTGTTATACTTGATGCTTCTAAGCAGATATAAATTTGATGCTGCGTGATGATTGGAGGTGTAACGAAAATCCGAGCCGCGGCTGTATTCGAACCAGTGACCAGTGTCAATAAGATGAACGGACAGTAAAGCATCACGAATTCAGATGATAGTCAGGTAGAACCCTTAGTGATTGAAGTGAAACTAAAATCTAGTCAGAAGCTGGGTGTCGTGGTTCAGTTAGTAGAGTTCCGGGCCGTCAACTCGAAGGCCACTGGCTCGAATCCTGTGGTAACCAATATTCTCACTAAATCTTCGATCATCACACAGTATCAATAATATGGGTCTGCTAAACCATGAATATCTCAGACAGTCAAGCTAATGAGATATTAACTTGTTGTGTTTTATTGCTTTACAATTGTGGATCGCTATCGTAAAATATGTTCTTTAGTGTATGCACACCTTGGAATTTCATTTTTAGGCAGAAATAGCGAATTATTAAGTAGTAAATCAGGTGCTGATGTGGCTCCCTACAAACCTCCTCCAACCACCTAACTTCAATTAAAGTGTATGGTGTTAGCGAGTTTCTAAACTCGGTGACCATGTTATAAAACAAATAATGAAATTTAGCCAGTTCTTAAGACCAGATAACATGAAATCGATTACACTCCAGTAACTAGTCGGTGCATTTACTTTCATATGATTTTTGATTTCACCGTCTGTTGAATGGTTCTAATTGACTCTTAGATATAGATTGCTAACCCGTACGATATCATATCACATCTTTTCACTAGGCTTGGGGGTCAAATTGTATATTTACTGAATCAACAATGAAACAAGATTCAGAATTGTTACATTGGTCCAAAATATGCATATGTAGTGCGTTGTTCAATTTCAGAAACAAAGCGGTCACTTTAAGTCGTAATTTGCATAATTCAACTCCTAAAATCTCAATGGATATTAACTTTATTGGAGAAACATGTAACTTTTTTCAATTGATTTCATAAAGGTTATCCTACTACTTAAATTGTAGCAATGAATTTTTATTTATCCAATGTCCAATATATTTTATTACTCTACTCACATTTTCTTGAATATTTCTTACAGAGTTACGCAAGTTATTGAAACGTCGATTAGCAAATAAAGAAGTGAAATTTAAACGCGATATAATAGGTGATTATGCTAGACCATCATCTCAAGTTTTTGCTCCACTAACTCGACTGGGTGTATTCCCTGATCGTAGTTCTGAAAATTACATTGTCAAAAATATATATCTGACCAGTTATGAAGGTAATGCTAAGTGTATTTGAATTTCGTTTTCCGTTATAATTAACATTGGAATTATTGTGTATATTTTACTTCATCATTTCGTCTTCCTGATCAGTTTTATAATGAATTTAAGGAAGTGTATTGCGCTTACTGTTTCTTATTTATTCGATTGTATCATTTTATAGTCACTAAGTAAATGGGTAGTTAAATATATTGAACATTAAATATATTAGAAGCTTCGAAATTCGAAATTCTAGTAGGCACTTTATTCAGAAGTGAATAAGTTGATATAATAATTTTCATTTGACTATCTAAGATAGCTGCAGTTTGTCAGCCGGTTTCGAACCAGCAACCCAGTGGTCTCTGGTTCGAAATCGGTCGCGGCCCAAATTTTCATTTCACCTCCAATCATCACCCAGTATGACAATTATCGCATAAACACTGAAATCTCAGGGTTATTTGAAAGTTTTCTCGATCACAGTTTCAATTTTTTGATAGAATTATTAGATATCATCGTCTGACAATGCTTATCAACATTTATTAGAAACAACATGTTAACTTAAACTTTTCCCAGTTTTCTTGGTTGTATGTGTTCTCTGAGCTAGGTCTTTTAATCTTGGAGCTCTCATCGGTTTTCTAGACGACATCACCTGCACTTACTTTAATGTGAAGTGAGTTGTCAATATCTCTCCGTGAGTGATTCAGCAGCCTTCCTTGACGAGCTGGTTTTTGATTGGTTGCTTCCTTTGATTGCTCTGCTACTGACTGCGTAGACTTTCTTGTTGGGTGTTTCTCTGCTTGTCCCATGGCCTTTGTGTTATTCACCATTTTTATGACCGATTGATATACTGGATCTGTCTATACATCTATTGATTGTTGACTGACTTGAGTGCCAAGCTTCAAGGAATTTTCTGATATTGGAATCAGCGTCGCTTATAAACCAACAGATTTCACTCCAAATCATATTATCCAGACCAATGGAAGCAACAGCCAAAGGAGGCGAACCAAATATCGTTTATAAAACCAACTGCAATAATTGCAGTCAACACTACATTGGACAAAGTGGTTGCCCTCTTCGACTTCGTTTACATGAACACCAATTGGCTGTTAAACGTCAAGACATTTCATCGCTCATTTCAATGCACGTGGATAACTGTGGACATAACTGTGGAATTCAACTTTGATAATGTAGAAATCTTGGACAGAGAAAATACAAAGAATATCAGAGAATTCCTAAGAGCTTGACATTCAGGTCAGTCAGCAATCGATAGATGTATAGACAGGGACCTAATCTATCAAACGAAAAGTGGTAAGCAACAGAAACGTCAGAGTTAAAGCGGAAGAATAGCCAACAAGAAAGTCTATGCGGTCAATGTCACAGAAATCAAAGAGAACAACCAATCACAAACTAGCTCGTCAGAGCAAGTTACTGAATTACTCATGGAGAGATATTGGCAGTTCACTTCATATTGAATTAAGCGCTATTGATGTTGTCGAGAAAGACGATAAAAGTTCTGGCATTAAACAACCCAGCTGGGAGAACACAATACAACCAAGATCATCCACCTGAGCTACAAATATTATCTACCACTTTCTTGCTTCTCTTCTTCATCTCCTAGCTTACCTTTTCATAGCGTACTCTGCTCATCATTTTGTTCCAAGGATAAAAACTGTAGCTGTGATATAATCTGTTTAAAATAGCTAAGGTCATCGTATATCGTAGTTCGGATAAGGTTAGGAGTAACTAAAAGTTAACTGCCTTGCGTTATCAAAATGAAATATCTGCCCCAAGATATACACACAACTATCCCAGAAATGTTTCCGCTTTTGTAGCAGTAAACACTTGCAATTCCTCACAGAACCTAATGGAACATCTTCAATCAGCTGGGTTCTTGGAAATTCGAGTACTTTTAAAATGTAAACGATTACTTGAATTTTTTTTTATTGTTCATTCTAGTTTCTATCTTAGAATAAGAGTAATGATTTTTCACAGATAAAATATGATTTCGTGGATACATCTTTGCACCTTATTTCATTTTTTTTCACCAGTGTTGTATTCAGTATATTACACTGAATTAACACATAACATTATAAACTGTGCACTCGTTACCTTTATAAACTGCTGTGTTTTTCATTGGTGAGTAACTTATTACTTATATTTTACTTCTGGATTTCAACTGCGATTAAAAACAGCTTCCACTGATTATACATTTATATTTCAATGCTAAAATGGTGTAATATTGGGTGGAATACAACTTATCGTCACTTCTGAGTATATGAATCCAACAATTTACGTGTACTATAGAATTCAGAATATTATTATTATTTATTATTTTTCCCTCGGGTTCCTAGTGGAGTATAAGACTTCAGTAGAACGCCTACACTGCACTCTCTTCTCACCAGTCTTCGCAACATGGCTCAACGACTGCCCACAAGCTTTCATTTCTTCCTCACATCATCTCCTCCATGTCACCCTTCACTCAAACACCCAACTCATCATTTCCCCTTTGGATTCCAATCGAGGGTCTGGCCTGGCACGTGATTTCCTCGAATGGTCTTCTCAGTGTATGCTCAATCCAGTCCATCTCCACTTTCTTCTACTGCATATTAGTTGGGTGATAGGTTGTTGGTTGGTTTGTTGCCAGAGTACCTTGTTGCTTATTCTTATTATTCTGACCATCTGATCTTCAATATCGGGCGTAGGCAGCTGTTGATGTAATATTTATCTGCAGTTTGTTGGAAATGCTTTTCGTAACGCGCCAAGTCTCTCAACCATCACATAGAAGCACTGACCTGACTGAATCGGTGTTGAAAATCCGGATCTTATTCTTTGTGTTGAGTGAAGTGGGTCTCCACAGTGATTTCAGATTAATGAAAGCCTGTCTTGCTTTCCAGATTTTGGCTTTGACATCCTCATCTGCGCCGCCGCCTGTAGTTGAAACGATGCTGCCTAGGTAGAAAGGTGGGTGGAAGAGACTACTTCTTTAGGTTTCTCCCGTTGATGGTGATTGGTGCTTGTTGTGGTTATTGTTATTGTTGTCGGTTGGATATCTTGATCACCTCCATCTTTTTTCTCTACATTCACCTGAAGGGAGTTCCGTCTTCGCTGCCCTGTCTCTTTTACCAACTTGTCAGTTTTTGCCTGTAGATCTTCGAGTTTGTACGACGAGACATGAGACATAAATCATCATCGGTGGCGAAATCCAAATCTTCCTTTGTGGTCTTTTCATCGGTTCATCCAGCGTCTGGCCATCTTCTCGCTCTTCACGGTTTGCTGCATGATCCAGTCCAGTTGACTACAATCATGAAGATCATGGTTGATAGTAGGCAGCCTTGTTTCACTCCTGTCTTCACTTCAAAGGCGTCACTGAGCTTTCCATTATAGATAACTTCGCATGTGGCGTTTTCATATAGATGTTGAGTGATGTTGGTAAGGATGTGTGGCACTCCATAGCGTTGAAGCGGCTGCCAAATTATTTCTCTGTCAACGCTGTCGAAGGGCTTTTCAAAGTCGATAAAGTTGAGTTGACTGTCATTCTACGTTGTGTTCTATGATGATGCGTAGCGTAGCGTTGCAATTTAATCCACACATAATTTGTTCTTCCTGAAGTCAGCCTGCCTGCTGCGGTTGTAATTTTGAATCCAGATTTCAGAATAAGTGAATGCTAAATTTTTATAACAGAAACATTTTCAATAGAACAAATATTTTACAGTGGTGAAAGAGAATCTAAGCCATCGTTTGGTATAAACTAGTGACATTTAGACTATTCAGCTGTATGGTATATTAACTCAGAAAAATATCTTAACCGCTTATTGCGCTTTTTTTGTTATATTTCATTCACCTTGTACTATACTGTACCGTATGACTGAAAATAGATTTTATCATAATTTTATCCCAGCACCTACCATATGTGTCCCATTCGCCCTCTATAGTTATTGAAAGTACAACTTTTTTAATCCATGATGTTGCCTGGGTAAAATGCTGAACGAAATGTAGGAAGTTGTGGTTATGGTTGCATTGAATAAGAAAGTATCAGTACTTAAATGTTCCTTTATTTAATAGATGCAAAAATATCACGTATCAAATAAATAAATCTACAAAACTGAAGTCGATACTATGAAGTAATGGTGATATCATCAGTCACTTCACTTCAGGATAAATATTCCTTTTTATGAAGTTAAGTAAAGGAATAAGTAGTTTCTTATGAAGACTTATACGTTCTTTGAGGCTCTTGATGATAAACAAAAATGGCTTTGTTTTGCATAGCAATGACAACAATCAGAAAATATCCATGACCATCCATCAGTAAAACATAATCTTCATCGCTTACTGTTTTAGTTTATGCTACAACATATCCTGATAGCTTTATGCTATTGTGACAACGAAGTTCAGAGCACATTTACTTCGGTGTTAATTAGTCTGTGATGATAGCCATTCCCTCAGTGGGCTCGTGGTTGTCGTCTGGGTGACAATATTGGAGTAGATTACTGACTCTCCAGTAGACAGTTGGGAAAGCCCACTTCCATTCCACCTTCTTTCGCAAATTCCTAACACTTCAATGCCAAACCTTCTCATCTCGTTTGCAATCTGAGCAGCCTTGCTAGGTTCAAATGTAGTGAGGACATTCCATGTCCCTAACCTTACTTCCACTCTCATCGAGAGAAGACACATCGGTCAGTTGGCTTCTCGAAGGCTTTCACCCACCGGCGTCATTTCGTCTCTCCGATTCCAACGAGGAATAAGTTTGTTTTTATTTTTATATTTTGTCTGTGCTTTGAAGTTTTTGTAGTTGTTGGATTGGTTTTCTGGGGTTGAGTTGCTAGCCCTATGCCCAACCTTCCCTCTTTACCCAGGCTTAGGACCGGCTAATAACTAGTGAACTAGTTAACCAGGAGAGGTTTAGTCTTTTCATAATAATGATGAATATCCACTCAAGTTTAATACTATTATTTATTGTACTATCATAGTTATTATCTTATGTATACATTTTTGTGCATGTTTTTTTTCAAAAAAAAAATTCAGGTTTACTAGATTTGGAAGCTAGTTTACCACGATTTGTATTTGAACCAAGAATAAAAATAAAGAAACCAATAATGTATACGAAAGATGGATTTCTAAGACGTGAATATCGTCATCAAAAAGAATTAACTGATTTACATGATGTATGTTTTTATACATAAAAAAAAACAACTTTAGTGAATGGTATAAAGTTTATATTTTACTACTCAAGTAATTAAGTGTCTTTAAGTGTTATATGTTTTTAAATTCATTAAGAAATTGATGCAAATAGAAAAGTTTATAAGTTTAAAGATTGTTACCTTGTCGGAAAATAATATTCATATCAACTTCCAAGTGTTTATCATAGTTTATCTGATCAAATTTACAGTATCATCAAAGACTAAATGACTTAGTAACTCAAGTAAACTATGTTATTTAACCAATTACTCTTTAGTAAAACTTATTTTAAGAATTTAAGAATTCCTATTTTAATATTAAGAAAAAGATATTCAGCGAAGAGACTCTTTTCAGCGAATTTATCTTAAAGCTGTACATCATATATATATATATGATATTTGAAAAATTATATCATGTGAGGACAACTAAACACTATACAATGATGATAATGATGATGACAATAATAATAATAGAGTGGATGATGACATAGGTATTCATGATTTGATAACAGTTGAAGTAGGAATAATTAAAAAGTAGATTAATTAATATATGGAATGATTCATAGAAGATATATAATTCAGAAAAGGGGAAAAAAAACTCGGTGAAATTGGTAAAACAATCAAGTAGTATGTAGCAGTAGTAATCATTACCATATAGGATTAAAACACAGATAATATCGAGGCATCCATGCTGAGGCTGATATACCAATAAAGATCGATCATTTCGGTCCAATCAACGACGGTATAATACAAGCAATAATATTAAAACTATACCTGTTGCAGAAGAAGAAGTGGCTATCGTGGCTTGGAGGTCTAGTGGTCAGCGCTCTAGCGTTTAAAGCGATTGGTTTCGAGTTCGAATTCCGGTGGGAACACCACTCACTGGGGTGAAGGTACATCCAACTGATGAATCCCAAATACGACGAAATGAGCATCCTAGATTCCACTGCTAGTCACTATCCATCATTACAATATTATGTAATAGGATTAAACAAGTTGTTCAGGATGAACCAATCAAGTGGAATAACACCGGAAACTAATCAAAGTGAAGGCAGTTATAATAACAATAATAATCATAGATGAAGGATACAAAGATTAAATAAACAAAGGGAGAGAGGAAACTAATGGGAATGGGAAAATGTTATTATTATTATTAGCCCCTTGGGTTCCTGATGAAATATAGGGCTTCAGTAGCACGTCTCCAGTGAACTCTGTTCTCTGGAATCTTTTGAACCTGGCTCCACGACAGCCCGCAAGCTCTCATTTCCTCCTCGCACGATCTCCTCCATGTCACCCTCACCACGGACGTCCAACTCGTCGCTTCCCATGGGGATTCCACTCGAGTACCTGGCCTGACGCGTGATATCCCCAGTCGGCCTTCTCAGTGCATGCCCAATCCATCTCCACTTCTGCATATTTGTTGAGTGATAGGTTCTTGGTTGGTTCGTTCAAAGAGTTCCTTGTTGCTTATTCTTTCTGGCCATCTGATCCTCAGTAGCGAGCGTAAGCAGTTGTTGATGAATGTCTGTAGTTTATTGGAAATCACTTTCGTAACGCGCCAAGTCTCTGAGCCATACAGAAGCACTGACTTGACTTGACGTTGGTGTTGAAAATCCGGATCTTGTTCCGCATGCTGAGTGCAGAAGATCTCCACACTGGTTTCAGGCTAATGAACGCCTGTCTTGCTGTCTTTCCGATTCTGCCTTTGACATCCTCGTCCGTCCCGCCTGTAGTTGAAACAGTGCTTCCTAGATAGTGAAGGAGGTTACTTCCTTTAAGTGTCTCCCGTTCATGGTGACTGGAGTTTGTTGTTGGTGGTTTAGTTTTAGTTCATGAATAGCTAAAGCCTCCTCTATTTTAAGGAGTTGTAAACGAGGAAATCTTGGAAGTTTGGGCGAATTTGATAAACACTTTTTTTGGAGTCATTGTCCAGGTTTATTGAATGATGAAAATCAACCAAGTATTTTAGAATCAAACTTTTAACAGACTTTCTTTCACATTTATAAAACGAATCTGGAACATGTTCTCGTATATATGTAGAAAGCATTCCCTGGTTACAGCCAATGTACTTTGCTTCACAAGAATAGGTGAACTAGTAGATGCATATACAATACGTAATCTACTTTGTTATCACTCATACTTCAACTGTTATCATAATCATAAATACCTATATCATCATCTTATATAGTTTAGTTTTCCTTACAAGATATAATTTTTCAAATATCATATATTATACAGGTGTACAGCTTTAAAATAAATTCGTTAAATAGAGAAACTTATTTTAAACAGCGGATAGTTTATAAAGAAGTCTCTTAGCACAAAGAGTTAGTAACCAAATAAATACTGCTTGGTCTAATGATAAGGGGGATACTTATTTTGTAAGGAGAAAAGTAAGAGACAGGTAAGTAAGAAAATGTTCTTTCTTGATATAGCATTTTCTAGAAATGTAGAGTTGTATTTACTTTTATCACTAGCATACAACAGTCATTTATTAAGCAACGGGGTGGATTCACATCACTTTAGTAATGTTTAAGACTAAAACAAAGAGTGACCTCTAAAGACGAGAAAAAGTTAGGTAATATTTTATCCGAAGATGCAAGCGATAAAGAAGGTAAGGGATATGACGAGTTAAAGATTGTCTAAATCGAAAACAGCATTTTTAGTCATCAGCCGCTAAGGCAGAAGTTTGGATTTCAACCTTGTTTCATGTTACTGCATGGGCAGTGAAGACCTTATTGGACAACTTTGTCCTTCAGTTGACCAATCAGAATAAATATCCAATTTCTGACCTAGTGGGTTTATTTTCCGCGGAAAAAGTGTAAATAAATAATGTGTTTCTTGAAGTTACAGACCAATCTTTGTCTTCTGATTTTTACGGCTCAGTGAAGTATCAGGTCTGAGGGAGACGTTCGCTATTCGTATCCAATCTAAGTGTCTCATTGCGTTAGCAGCGTTCTCCTCTTTCGTATTCTGCAGGCAGTTAATTTCACTAGGTCACTCCAAGATTTATCTTGATATCAAACCATCTTCCCTTCAATTCAATAATGATTCCAAGAAAGAACGATGTTTTTCCTATCCTTCTTCGAATAACTATCTTATATGGCATAGTGTACCATCATCATTTTGTTCAATCATAGTGTGATGTGTGTCTTATCACTACATTATGCACAAATATCCAACATTTCGAATCGAATCCTAACTTCCTAAAAGTTGAATTCATTTACTAACTAACTCTTTGAAAGCAAGCAAAAACAACTTCTGGAGCAGAAGTCAAGGGATCTATTTCATTTTGGTTGTGTCAACTCCTTACAAACTATAATATAAAAATAGATAGTTTTATTGGGATTCTAATGCACTTTATTGCTTTCACTGTGTAGTAAAATGAGACATCGGTTAGTATTTATGACAGACAGAAGCTATAACTATTTCCGTCTTTCTTAACTACTCGGAAGTATTTTGTTTTCTCCCAGTGAAGCAAAGTTTGAGAAAATTTCATAAAACTATACATTTCGTAAGCAGTTGACAAATAATTTGGTTGGTTGTGGCTAGTAGAAGAATCCAGAATGCGCTTTAGGTCGAACAATTCAATCCAACAAAACAACGGAGAATAACAAGTATGTCAATAAATGGTTGACAAGATGTTGAAATGAAATGGATCCGTTTTATCTTACTCCAATTGTTGTTCTTGCTCCTTTCAAAGGCTTATTTTTTCAAAAACTACTACTTCTCCGTTTGTTTTGTTTTTAAAGTTAAGTCTGGTTGTTATAAACAACCGTATGTCAAATGATTATGCTTGATATAGTTATTTCAAATACACTTACAGTGCTGTATCCGCCGTGCAATATTGTCGATGCATACTTTTGTGATGAATTAGCTCCAACCGATTTTCGAGCTTTGCATATGTTCTGTTACATAGCTGAATATGCATTTTCGTTCTGTCCTTGTCAGCCAAGTTGGGTAATGTTCACACGTACATTGCCTAAGCTGGCGCACGGTACCGTCGATGAACTCGTCTCCATAAGAGCAAGTAAACTCATATACACACAATGATGAGGCCCAATGCTCCAGATTATCCTTTTTATCCTGATGAATACGTTTCTGAAAGGAGAATTTTATTCTAAGACTGCAGACAATGAATTTTTTGTTTGTGGATCTTGGTAATCTCTAAGTATATCTGCCACATCTTCCGCCTTAAATTTGAGGTTTGACAGTAGAATCCTTTTCAGAGCAACATGTACGCGTTATGTGGCGTTTTCCGACTTTCGATTCATATCTGTAAATTTCAGTGAGTACCCATTTTTTATCAGCATTCCTCACAAGGTATCTAGTTCACCTTCACTGGTATCCTCAATGCCTATTCTTCGTATTCTGGGAGAGAGTGAATTGATTAGATTCTTTTTTATGCTTAAGGAGACACAGCTTTGAAAATTGATGAAAGATCTCTGAGCTGAATTGTTATATTTTCTTTGAAGATGAACAAAAAGAAAGTAGAATTTTGAGTTTAAGTCTGCTTTTAGAGTAGAACTGAAAAGGAGGTGGGCACCACTGAAGGTTTGAAACAGGTTGTCGAGATTCTTATTCTCGTCACAACTAATAAAGGTGTCATCTATGCATCATCTACGGATATGAGACTCTCTGATTATTTCGTGTATGGTCGTGTATTCCAGGTTTGCCATAAAGCAGTCAGCTAGAAGGGACCCAAGAGATGATCCAGTTGCCACACCGTCTATCTGTCGGTAGATTTCGTAGTTAAATCTAGAGGGCATGTTGAATGTACATCTGAGAAGAGGTTACCTCAAGTAGTAATTTGGGATAGCAATATTTAATTTATGGGACTGACTGAAGTTACACAGGAGAAAATGGTTTGCGTTAGTGGGACAGTTGTAGTCGGGGAGAGTATATAAAGAGTACTCATGCTGTTTCTTGATAAAATGGTATTCTCCCCTAAATTAACGAAGTAAAGTGTGTTCAGCAGGCTATGCTTCAAAATCTCATTCTTCTGTGGATCCAGTTTGTTGATGAGCCATTTTGTAACTGAATAGTAAGGAGAATTAGTCATGTCTAGTATCGGACGAAGAGGAAAACCTTCTTTGTGCACTTCAGGCTGTTTGTAGTACCTCAGTCCTATGCATATGTATAGACCTTTATATTGAAGGTTGATGTAATAAACTGTTCCTGGACCTCACTGTCATTTCACTTCAATATTTTAGTTATTCAGAACATGTTACTTATAAGCTATCAAGTAGCACAGCAAATTATCATACAAATTGTGAGAAACAATTCAATTTACTTAAAGTTCTTTCTTTTTTATGTAAAAAACGACGACATTTATGCAGTATTTGAAAAGAACATCAGCAAACGAAGAAGAGGCTGTTCCAAGAAAACCAAGATTTTTACAAAAGATTGAAAAGCCGATACCACGTCCACTTACCCCAGGCATTTCTCCACCAGCCAGTGTAAGTTTAATACAATCTTTCAAAAACTTTTTTCCGCAATTGGTGGTATATATATGACTTTGTATTCACGCTCAGTGAGAATGTTCGGTTTTGTCAAAATTTATTAATTATAAATAGGTTGTATTCCAAATATTTCAGCAGAAGGGTTTCTGTTTGTGGCATTGAGCAACACACGTTCTAAACTGAAGTAATAAGTAGAATTTTGTAGACTGCGAATAATTAAACCCAATCGGTACCATAAAATAGAAAAACGAGGTTCTAAATTGTTTGCTGCCAATCATTAAAAATTGTGATAGAAAACATTCCTAGTGTTAAATGTTTTGAAAGTATCCAATAAAATAACAAGTAAAATACATAATAATCTGCCACTGTTGAACAACCACAGTTGGTGAAATATATTTAGGTCACACGTACTCTTGAATAACTGCTTTTAAGTGGAGAAGCCAGTACGTGAGCATGACTCATATTTGACAGAGTGTTCTATTTCAGAAAACTGAGTCCACTAAAGTGGCTGTGAACTTGACTGGATGGATATAAGTATCAGCGATGTAGAGTTAGCTATCGCTAAATTACAAGTATGATGTCTCTTAGGGTAGGATTATTTTCAGGTAGTCGATGGCAAACGAAACTAAACACTGTACCAGCTTATTAATCAACCGCATACCGGCCAAAGTTGTATACGGAAGTAAGGGCTACTCTTTTAAGTGTGTACGGATGTTAAAAGCTAGCTGTCGGTAACGATTAATGTTATAACTTGCAATCAGTCATTACCACTTAGATGTATTCAAAATTTATCCTGAATATTTAATTAACCTGCATTTTGTTTCTTCTCTTTTCAAGAACTTTGAAATTCTTCTTAGTTTGAATGTCTTTCTACGTCTGTCAGTTTCGCCTTTTCGTGTCACTGGGAAACACGATAATTGAAAGCAGTATGTTTTTGTTATAATTTATACTTTCCGATACCTGTTTCTGCCACAAATATTTACCAAACTCACTCAACAGCTATATGAAAACACCACATGCCAAGTGATCCATAATGGAGAGCTTAGTGATGCCTTTGAAGTGAAGACAGGAGTGAAACAAGGCTGCCTACTATCAACCATGATCTTCATGATTGTAGTCAACTGGACTGGATCATGCAGCAAACCGTGAAGAGCGAGAAGATGGCCAAACGCTGGATGAACCGATGAAAAGACCACAAAGGAAGATTTGGATTTCGCCACCGATGATGATTTATGTCTCATGTCTCGTCGTACAAACTCGAAGATCTACAGGCGAAAACTAACAAGTTGATAAAAGAGACAGGGCAGCGAAGACGGAACTCCCTTCAGGTGAATGTAGAGAAAAAAGATGGAGGTGATCAAGATATCCAACCGACAACAATAACAATAACCAGAACAAGCACCAATCACCATCAACGGGAGAAACCTAAAGGAAGTAGTCTCTTCCACCCACCTCTCTATCTAGGCAGCATCGTTTCAACTACAGGCGGCGGCACAGTCACGGATGAGGATGTCAAAGCCAGGATCGGAAAGACAGCAAGACACGTGTCTCCCTTCATTAACCTGAAATCAGTGTGGAGGTCTACTACACTCCACTCAGCATGAAGAACAAGGTGCAGATTCTCAACACTAATGTCAGTTAAGTCAGTGATTCTATGTGATGGTTGAGAGACTTGGCGCGTTACGAAAAGCATTTCCAACAAATTGCAAACATACATCGACAGCTGCCGTCTGCACTCACTCGATACTGAAGATCAGATGGTCAGAATAATAAGAATAAGTAACAAGGAACTCCGGCTGACTGGCAAGAACCAACCAAGAATCTATCACCCAACGAATGTGCAGTAGGAGAAAGTGGGATGGATTGGATTGGGCATACACTGAGAAGGCCGATTGGCGACATCATGTGCCAGGCCCTCGAGTGTAATCCAAAGGGGAAATGACGAGTTGGGTGTTTGAGTCGAGGGTGACATGGAGGAGATCATGTGTGGAAGAAATGAAAGCTTGTGAGCAGTCGTGGAGCCATGTTGCAAAGACTGGTGAGAAGAGAGTGAAATGGTGATGTGCTACTCAAGCCCTATGTTCCACTAGGAACCCAAGGGAAAAATAAATATATCTGTTTGTACCTTCTTTGTCATTCTTTAGTCGATGAAAGTTCACCAATCTTAATAATTTTCACTTGTGACAGAAATGGAATAAGACTTATTTCAGACATTAAGTACTGTCGGTAAGATTCTGGGGAATCTTAGGTGAAAGAGAACAATGTTTATTGAGTGAATAGAATACACTTTATCGAACTTTAAAACTAGTTCTTCTGCTTCATATCAGAAAATTGTAAGTATTATTTGTGTGCTACCTATAAGAATTTAGTTATTTAGTGCTAAGTTGTTGGGAATGTTAATCAGGATTGATATTCAAATGGAGAAACGAAAACAGAATATGGGAAGAAAATACAGAAAACAAAGATGGGAGCAAAAGGAGAAGTATGTATCACCTAGCTGGTTGAACGTGGAATTTGCTGCATAAATAGTAATGAGTGCAACACACCCTATATAGAACAAATTTACCGTCTTACTAGAGTTTCTATCGATGAGATGTCCCACGCACACACAGCATCTAACATATCGATTTCTTATGGCATTGTTATTGGAAGAGTAATATGTGACGTATTTTTTTTAAGTAACTGACATTTTTTGTAAATAATATCAGATACAATGAACTTACTAGTTTAGTTGTGTAAGCTGATAGTAATCATGGGTTAAAGGCATTTGTTGGAGGTTGAAGGTAACTTATCTTGTCCTAGTTTCCTAATATTATCCCACTTTTACTAGTTATCTCTTTTTGCTTAATTTCGGAATTCAACACTAATCAGACATATCTTATTTCGTTATAAAACTGCTTTATATAGCTTCAAAATAATTTACTTGATGGAATTTAAGATACATGTTGTGTCGTACTGAAAACTAGTCAGCTTCTTATGATTAAGAGACAAGTTTCATTATGAAGAAATTTGAAGGAATACCAAAGCGTCCAACTTCAGAGGATGCTTACCAAAACATATCGATCAATTTGGTTCATTACAGCATAAAAAGCAGCAAAAAATAATCATAACATGCTGAGTAAATCAAATCGAGGCTTTTCTGCACTTTTCGATGTGTAGGCTATAGGGAACATAGGTATTCTGCTAAACATTTACAACATTTCAACGTAGAAAGAGATGTTGGTACTATTAAAATACTTAGACTTTTTTCACTTATGCTATTTGCTGAAAAAACTATTATTTGACTGTCTGAGATAACCGTAGTTTGTTAGACTAGTATTCATACTGGGTGATGATTAAAGGTGAAATGAATATTTGGACCGCGGCCGAATTCAAACCAGCAACCAAAAGGTTTTCGGCTCGATACTCTACCATCTGAAGTACGAGGTTCGACTGCTGACTAGATTTTCATTTCACTCCAGTCATTAAAGGGTTTTGCCCAACTACCATGTGAATTTATGACGCCTTACTACCGACTGATCATATTCGCACTGGCTGCCTAATAAGGACTTCTAATCCCAATCCAAATCTAACTGAATTAGAGTGGATGGGGAGCATCATAGTGATTATTACTTGAATATCTGATATAGCCATGGTTTGGAAGAGCATCAAGCCGGAAACCTGGTGTTCACTTGTTTGAATCCAGCCGTGGTTTAAATTTTCATTTCACTTTCAATCATCACCCAGAATAGACCATATTTTCAAAAGCTTTTCAAGTCTATGACATCTGTGTATACTACCACCTCAATGGAAGCTAAACAACGATCAATATGCTTGAGGTGAAATCGAAATTAGATCATTACTTGAGTGTCATATTTCAATTGGGTAGAATACTGGACTTGTGACTATCGCAATCCAGGTTTTTATCTAACCCAGTACCGTCGTACAGTACAGCCAAGATACCAACGAAGGTAATCGTATATGGCTTAATCGCTGAGGTGGTAGTTTGGCGATATTCATATTTTTCCAATAACAAGGGAGGGACCTTTTTTAGTGGATGTATTGTAAGCGTAAATATGGAGGATTAGAAGGTTTTCTTTGTATTGAAAATGTTCATTTCGCATAAATTACTTAGAGCTTAACACTTCTCAATCATACTAGAAGTATTTCAGTTTGTATAATACAACAATATTGAACTTTGATAAACTTAGATTTTTGTGCCTTTGTTGCATCTAATAGGAAGAATCTGAGGAACATGAATTGGCTGCAATTGTATTGCAACAATTAATACGTGGACGTGCTATACAAACACAAATGTATGAAGGCAAAGAAAAACGTAGTGAATTGATCGCTGAGTTAAGATCTACACATGCTTTACTAGAAGATGATCAGGCTCAAAAGAAGCGTGAAAAATTAAAAATATTATCAAGACAAGAAGATCACAGTCATATATTACATCAGGTAATTTTTCGTCGTTTCTTCTCGATAAATGAAAAATTATTTGTCTCTCATGGTATCATTTTTCTTTAAAGAACGAATAATAAACTTCAGTTTGTATTCTCATATACACGTGTTGGTATTCCCTTAATTTTACAGAAACCTTCGTGCTCACATATGAACGTAAAACCTTTGAATGTGCACTATTATTATTATTATTATTATTATTATTTGTCCCTCGGAGTGCTTAGTGGAACATTCGGCTTGAGTAGCACATCACCATTTCACTCTCTTCTCACCAGTCTTTGCAACATGGCTCCACGACTGCCCACAAGCTTTCATTTCTTCCTCACATCATCTCCTCCATGTCACCCTCGACTCAAACACCCAACTCGTCATTTCCCCTTTGGATTACACTCGAGGGCCTGGCACATGATGTCGCCAATCGGCCTTCTCAGTGTATGCCCAATCCAATCCATCCCCACTTTCTCCTACTGCACATTCGTTGGGTGATAGATTCTTGGTTGGTTCTTGCCAGTCAGCCGGAGTTCCTTGTTACTTATTCTTATTATTCTGACCATCTGATCTTCAGTATCGAGTGAGTGCAGACGGCAGCTGTCGATGTATGTTTGCAATTTGTTGGAAATGCTTTTCGTAACGCGCCAAGTCTCTCAACCACCACATAGAATCACTGACTTAACTGACATTAGTGTTGAGAATCTGCACCTTGTTCTTCATGCTGAGTGGAGTGTAGTAGACCTCCACACTGATTTCAGGTTAATGAAGGGAGACACGTGTCTTGCTGTCTTTCCGATCCTGGCTTTGACATCCTCATCTGTGACTGTGCCGCTGACTGTAGTTGAAACGATGCTGCCTAGATAGAGAGGTGGGTGGAAGAGACTACTTCCTTTAGGTTTCTCCCGTTGATGGTGATTGGTGCTTGTTGTGATTATTGTTATTGTTGTCGGTTGGATATCTTAATCACCTCCATCTTTTTTCTCTACATTCACCTGAAGGGAGTTCCGTCTTCGCTGCCCTGTCTCTTTTATCAACTTGTTAGTTTTCGCCTGTAGATCTTCGAGTTTGTACGACGAGACATGAGACATAAATCATCATCGGTGGCGAAATCCAAATCTTCCTTTGTGGTCTTTTCATCGGTTCATCCAGCGTTTGGCCATCTTCTCGCTCTTCACGGTTTGCTGCATGATCCAGTCCAGTTGACCACAATCAGGAGGATCTTCAGTGATCTTTATCTGAAACTGAAAAAAGAACACTTAGTTTATGATCTTACACTGCTACACATACATACTGACATGAAAAGTGGTACATTATTCGTTTCAAACCTTTTGTAGTCTCTCTTACATTTCTTCATTTAGTCACGGTTTACTGACTGGAATTGTGTTATGCATAAGTTTAAACTGGCTTCATTCTTCATTTTAAGGATGAGTAAATCATTGACATACAGGACAGTCTATTTCTACTTTTGCTACACATCTTTTAAAGACGGTTTATTCAGTAATTATAAAACTCTACAGATGAGAGTAGATAATCATTCTATATAAGATCATCTGGTTTCCCTCTTACGGTTTATATTTCTTCCCTTGAATTGTTCTACTGAATAGCCTAAACAACTGGGTACAAATATTTAACCTGATGGTAAGCATCCTCTGCATCCACGCCTATCTCCATGTTTGTCTTCAGGGAAGACAAGTAGCAAATGCATTTAACTATGTGCACGTACAAATACATACAAAAAATCAACTGTGCCTTAATTAGATTGTCTACTGTGTGAAAGAAAACATGTAAAAACAAACAATCTTTCAGTGAACTTTGTAGTTAGGAAAAGTTATCATAACCCTGTAGTCATTAAGTATTGTAATAGTGCTGTTATTATCCTCTATTTTGGTTGGTAGTAGCTAGTAATGGAATCCAAGATGGGCGTGGAAACAACGTCATTCATTGAAATGCAGGTATATTCGGCTGATGAATCCCGAATAGGATGAAACGCGCTATCAAGTAGACTACAAAATAATCAGTGATTAAGCAACACTGTGATATCCTCATGGGGACCCATATGCAACAAGGGTTTGATCAGTTCGATACAGTGTAACAACGGGAAATTACAAATATTAACAAATACTACTATTATAATACATAATGTACTGCTAACCAGTACCATTACGGCAAGTAATTTACTTCAATACTACACGCTGATAATTTCTCACTGTAGAAAAATTATGTTTCGAAATAAAGCAATATTATTATTATTATTAACTAGCTAAGTAAAGCCTGAAGGAAGCTTTTTATACTATTGGGTTTACAAATTATTCAGCATCTCTGATGTACAGTTGTCTACCTTCAGTGGTGTGATTATCGTCTACACAAGAGTTAAGGAACCCTCATGTGATATTTTGGTAACAGATAATGAAAAAATTACTCATATCTTTTTATTAACCTGAGGAACTACCTCATTTTACTATTGTAGGCAAAGTCTTTTTATCTATTAGTGTGATTAATTACTGTTAAAAGTACAGATTTATTTCTCCAGGTAGTGAAGTGAATCTTATTTGTGGGGATGAATGATATGAAGAGGTGTGTGAAAAAATTTGATCTTTTTAGTGAGCACTGGCATTCAAGTTACTTTTTATCTTCCTTGTGATTACATCACCAGTAACTAATATCACTGCTAATCATTCGTCTCACATTCTTTTTTATGTAAACTAGGAGCATATAATGGAAGATATACTGGGACGATTTGAATGTGATAGTTTAGCAAATATGTTAGATTTCTTAAGTAAAGAACTTGATAGGTTGATTGAAGAAAGACGTATACATGCATTAATATTACTGGCTGAACGTCAACGTCGAATAAAAGAAGCTGAAGAAAGTGGTACACGTCAAAAAGAAGAGCGTAGAAGACGAGAACAAGATGAAATTTTTAAACAGGTAAAATATTGATTTATAATAATTTTAGAAAAATTTAACATGCTACCCATGAATAATATAAATGCTAAGTAGACTTTGGATACAATATATAGATGACACGTTTATCATCATTGAAACAAACGAATTGAAAAACGCTTACAAATTATTCAACAATATTTTCAACGGTATCAACTTCACAATTGAAAAGGAATCAAATAATAAACTTTCATTTCTGGATGTTCTGATCACTAGAGTAGATTTTAGGAGATTGGAAACTTAAGTATGCAGAAAACCAACTCATACAGATCAAATCCTCAACTACAACAGCAACAATCCAACAGCACATAAAATCAGTTGTTTAACAATATTGTTCAAAAGAGCGAAAACACACTGTAGTACATCAACCCTGTGGAGAACAGAAGAAAACTATTTGATGACTGTTTTTCAGAAGAACGGTTATCCACGCAACGTTATGAAATGTTCACATCATTTGTCATCAATCAAGAAGTCAATCTCGAGAACTAAGAAACGGATTGTCCTACTCTGCATAAAGAATGTCACCGAGATCACGACTAGATTATTGAAACCTTTTGGGATCACTGTATTTCATAAGCCCACAAAATCGCTTCACTCTGTTACGCAGGCCAAAAGATACAATATAAAAGGAAGACAGATCAAACATTATCTACAAAATAAATTGCAGAAACTGTGAAAAACACTACTTCGGACAGAGTGGTCGCTCTTTTCGCATTCGTCTACATAAACATCCACTAGCAGTGACGTATCATGACATATCTTCACTCACGTAAATGCATACGGGAAAACGTGGACATGAATTTGACTGGGAAAATGTAGAAATTCTAGATAGAGGAAATACAAAGAATGCCAGAGAACTTTTGGAAGCTTGGCATTCAGATCAGCAAGCGATTAACAGACGTATTAAAATTGATCCAATCTATCAACCAATAAGAAACAACAAGAAGGTTGAATTCCAGGTCATTAGGACAACCAATCAGAATTAATATGGAGACAACGACTACACCTTGCCAGAAACAACCAATCACACACAAGGTCATCAAGACAAGCTACCAAATAAATTGCGGAGAAAGACTTTTCGCTCACTTCTTTCTGAAGTCTGTGGCGATGATGTTGTCTAGTAGGACAACGAAAACCAAAAGATTAAACAATACAAATTATCAGAAGTATAGATGTTGAAATAAATTTAACAGTTATCTCCGTTGAACTGTGTTGACTACCAAGGATCTTTCATAAAATCGTAGTAATATATTTATGGTTATCGCAACCAGCTTGAACAGCCTGTTATCCAGCTTTAAATATGTGTAACACCCAAATTAACTCAAATTCTGTAGATTGTCATAAGGTTTGCTATACATCGGACACTTAGCTTGAGCTGCAAATTCTTGTATTGATTGAATGAACCTCCACCACCAAACTTATGCTAGCTTTTCTGTTGATTCTTCATTATAGACCAAACGCTAATCCAAAACCAGCTGGTTATTTCACGTTATTGCTTTTAATACTGTTATTTCGAACATCATTCAGATACAATAACTATTCGGTGTGAAAATATTGTTCTGGGAATAACTTTGTTGAGAAATTACATGCTGAGAATTGAATGCTATATCATACATATAGTTTGGAACAAAACGATTATTAATATTATTATTAAAAAGCCAACCAGTAATAAGACGTTTAGTGTAGTGTTTCAAATTAGGTAACGATAGAGAGAAGTCGCTTATTGAAGTTGGTGAATCCTGTATATCTCATCACTCTAAGCGATATTACATAGAGTGCTAATAGTTGTGTAAAAGTTGTAGAATGTCCAGACCCAATTGTACATTAATAACCCTAAATAATTTATTGCCATAAAGTATTTTCGCCTGAAATTACCAAGATAACAGCGACAATTTTTGAAGGACCTGAGATGATATAATAAAGAACCGATTCCATTTATCATATTTTGCCGGTTATTCACTTTCTTGCAAAGTATAAAAACAGTGATGTACTAATACTGGTTAATTCTTGATGTTTCTTAACTTTCAACTTCTTTCTTAAATTTTTATCAGTGTTTACCTTTCAGTGCACTGTTATATAGTGTGCTGATGCTCACTGTTTAGGTGTTTCTAAAAAGGATCACAATATATTGTTGTGTTGATGATGTGTGATGATACTGCTTCTGGATAGTGGACATTAGCAAAATCATTTGATAAGAAATATAATTCTATCAATCTGTGTCTGTCGCTTTGTCTTCAAACTAGTTTTGTTGTTTGATGATTAAGAGACTGTATTTGTGGAATCGATGTAAGATGATATAAGACTTAGTGGTGTTACATAATCGTATTTATTTATTATGAAATGACAGTATTCGAAGAACAAATGAGAACAAGGTGCCACTTTTTTTAAATTGTTTTCTTACATATTATTTATTAGTTGAGACAGGTGATTATCAGTCTGACTATCTTGTAGCTCAGTTGGTAGAACACAGGACCGGTAAACCAGAGGTCACTGGATCTAATCCTACCGTGGCCAAGATTTTCCCTTAATCTTCAATCATCATCACTCAGGTGGTTGTCTTCAATTCCAAGATAAATAATTTTTGACTCCAACTAGTAGATTGCGAAATAATATCTGGCATTAACTTTGTATACCGTCATAACCTGCAAAGAAATATACTGATGATTCGAATAGAAGTAGGCTGAAAGAAAGGTAGAAGTTATTAGATATTGATCTGACTTGTGGAGAGAGATTTAAGTTATCTATCTACTTTAGGTTCATAAGGTTATTAGAGGTCACGGATTTCATTAACCAAAATTGATTGTAATGATCAAAAAGTGGTCAGTTAAAAAGTTTCTTTCAACCATTGAACAGCTTCTTACTATTCACTTCACTCTTCATTCATATCTTTTTGATTTTTTTTCTATATTCTTACTTTTAACTGTTTACTTTAAACATTTTTTTTTCACCATTACGAAATTCGACAACTTGGGTCAATGCATTTTCTTAAAGTTTTACATCGTCACCTTCACTTATTTTTCCAGAAGTATTTCAGTCAAATTGTACGAATAATTTAGGCTGAACCAGTCCTTAGTTTAATGTATAAGTGTAGCATTTAAATAGTTTTTTTAAACAGCATTTCATGAAAACTAAAATCAGCTAGAAAGACTTAATTCGAAGTCACTTTAAATGTTTCTATTCTTCATTTGGTGTAGGTATGATTTTTTATTATGAAGGAAACAATGTTAAGTATTCATACTTTTTATGACGTATATCCAACCATTCTCAGAAGTTTCGGATCCTCTTAATTTTTTCATAGACAATATAATGGATAATGTGTTATTTAAATGACGTATCTTGGCATAAAGCTGTAAAGTACGCTTTCAACTTCATTTTCTATAACAGGTTACAGATTTGTGAGACATGGTCGTTAAAGGTAGAAGATATGAACCGTTTGGATGGTTTTGATGATAAACGTCTTCATAGCATTGCTCGCGTCTATTGGAATCACTGTGTGAGCAATGTTGAGGTCATACGAAAGGTACTAGGTAAGACAGACAAGTCGGTTGATAAGGTTGTGAACCTTAGTCAACTGAGATAGCTTGAACATGTACTGTTCATGCTGAGCCACCACCTACCTCAACGTGCTATGCTAGGGGAAGCTGGATTACGTTAGAAGAGGGTTCAGGGTGGCCATACCAATGACATAGCACCAGTCGTTGAAATCTCTTACTGATGGTTTGAGCCACGTGCGAAGATATACACTGCCTAGTTGGGGATCTCGAGACAGAATGAATTGGTGTTTGAGGACTCTTGGTGACGTGACTGGAAATCGGTCATGGTGGCGTAGATGTACTCATTGACATCTAAAGCGTGAATATTTGCACTAACCTTTAACTTCAATTTGTTTATTCTGTCACACAACTTTGATATCACTTTTTTTCAATCTACTTGTTTTTTGTGTACTACTGTGAAGTGTGGCAACTTGAGTGGATACATTTGTATGCGAGGTTCTAAATTGATTGTATCCGTCGATCGGTCAGAGAATAATAAAAACTCTAGTGTTAGTTTGCTGACTCAACATGATTTGGCGCACAATTTACAAGTTTGTTAAAAAGGCTGTTCATAAGGAGGCCACATATTGTACCATAATAAAGGCTACCTAATCTTAATGATATTTTAGATTTGTCAAAGAATCTACTTTGCTGAATAATGTTTTAATAATTTAAAGGGTTCTAATTTATATATTGGCAGATATCTTGATAGTATTCGGTTTCTAATTTAATATTTTGCACGATAATTTGCTTCTTTCGGGAAATTCAATGGAATTCCGTTCAAATGTTGACGAGATTACTTAAAAAGAATATAAACAGGGTATTTATCTGAAGAAGGAGAAAAAGAAGCATAAGTAATGCTGAAAATGTGTGATATGATACACATGTATAGTATTGTTGTTCTTTCTGGCGCAAAATTAGCCACTTTGTATGTCTATTTCGACTAGAGTGCTTGTATTACAGCATACCGTACTATTGTAGCGTCACATACTTCTCTAGAATCGATAGCCTAGAGTTCGACGAAATTTAACATTGATGTCGACCTTCATAGTTTAACTGAGCTCGTTAAGCTGAAGGCATACGGTCTAGTATCCACGCCATTTGGCACGCTGTCGTGTTACGTTGTATTGCTCGTAATCGACTCTCTAGCCAATTAGTTAGAAAGTATTAGTATTTGGGCACGACCTGGTAAATATATTATTTCGTCAAACTACGCTATTGTGTTCTTTCCTGGTCTCATAATCGTGGGTATATTACAAGTACGAATGATTGGTGATTGAGTTCCGCGTCTGTCAAGTTCGCACAAGGACAATTCGTAAACAATCATACACCTTAACACTATGCCTAATGGTACAATATATTTTAAGTAATTAATAGATACGGACTTGAAAACCCCCTACTAAGATTTCATTCTAATTTGCATTCATCCTCAGTATATAGTTTGAATCTTTTTCAAATGCTTCAACCACAACTGGACTACCATTAAAATATTTGTTT